TCCAAACACCAAAATCTCTCACTCCACATCCTCTCTCAATACACACACCAACTAATTTTGAATTTTGTAATTTTACTTAATGCACAAACCTTTTTGCCAAAAATATTCCTCTCTTTAACATTGAAACCCTAAACCAACACCCGTCGCCTGTCGCTGTTTAGGACCATGCATCGGCGATGGCGGCAGCTTTGAGTCACCCCTTTCCAGCCCCCTTCCGTTGTAAGATTTGGGCCATACTTTCCGGCGAGTTCCCAAACCTGCTTGTTTGCAACAACGGAGGAGTTGTCGAGATTGTTGATCACCACCGCCTTATACCCACCCAAAAGCAACTGAAGCACCGTGTGGGTTCCAATATACCCAACACCACTAGTCGCAAGTATATTCTGCGCCATAACTACACAAACCCAATTCGCATATAGCTATATATCTCTGCGTCTATATATAGAGAGAGAGTAGTTGAAGAATTTAGATATTTTGGATCTGATGACAATTGTGACTTTGATCATACTTTAACAATCTGTAAAGTAACCCATAAACTTTATTGGAAAAAAAAATTGGGGAAAAGATGAACACGGTTGGATTAGGTTTTGGACTGGTCTAGAATTTGGTTCTCGAATGCTCCTCCTAGATGATGAAAGAAGAAGACTTGAGAGAGAGAGAGAGAGAGAGAGAGAGAGGGGACGGCGGTTTTGTGGCCAAGAAGTTGTAGCAGACTTGATGGCAGCAGCGACAATAGCGGTGGATGGTAGCTAGGGTTAGGGCTAAAAAACTAAGGTTTTGATGGAGAAGATGTGGACACTCTAGTAATTTTATTTTAGGACAAAATTGTAATAAAATCATTATGTGTGTGCACAAAGGTAAATAGGTGTGTGAAAATGAATTTTTCCATATACACAGTTATAAACACAGCCAGCCTCTTTCTCTCTCTCTCTCTCTCTCTCTCTCTCTCTCTCTCTTTCTTCTTCTTCTTCTTCCTCTCCAAACCCTAACTCATTCTCTCTCTCTCTCTCTCTCTCTCTCTCTGTCTCTCTCTTCTCTCTTTTTGTCTCACTCTCTAAATCCTAACCTTCTTCTCCGCCATCTCATTCTTCGGTACCTCCATCGACACCGTATCTCCGTCGTCCATTTCACCACTAGAACCACTACTTAAAGACAATCCAGTTCGATTCAAGGTCGAAACCTTCATCTCCGGCGGAGATCACGTTTGGAAGCTAGAGAACTGGCGTCGTTACTGGTAATACCTGTTTCAGAGTTGCATGTTATATATTCATATCTCTCTCTCGTTCTCTCAAAATCCGGCGAAGAAACTCGCACTAAATCTCAAATCTGAGATCTGTGTGCATGTGTGTCTGAGATCTGTGTGTATTTTCATATCTTTACATGTGTTTTGTGTGTGTGTGTGTGTATGTATGTGTTTGAATTACTAATATACATGTGTATGCGTGAGTGTGTGTATTTTCAAATCTTTACATGTGTTACATATAATTGATTTTTACATTTTCTAGATTTCGTTTATCAACGTTGCTCTTCACTTTATGTCAAAATTTGTTTGATATCATTTTTTTTTTCTCATTTCATGTCATTTCGTGTTCTATATATAAATATATACTTTGTTAATTCAGTTTGATTTGGACTATAAGGTTAGAAGAACAGAAACTGAAATTATCTGAAAATATATGTTGTTACTCTCTCTTTCCTCTTTCTATATGCGAAAATTTGAAAATATGTATTGTTGAGGTCAAATTTTCTTCTTCTATCTGCTGATGTTGTTGAAGGCTTAGATTTGGAAAGTATTCTTGATTATGATGAAGACTTTCTAGAATTTTGAATAAATATGATTCATAGAATTTCTGGACTTTTTTTAGTGACTTGTTATTCTTGTTGTTATTGTTGTTGATACACAGATAAAATAAATGGATAAGATCTGTGTGAATTTCAACAGATCTATATTAAACAGATTATACCTTTAACAGATAGAAAAAATGATTGCAACATATAGAAATTTTGAACAGCTAATTTTTACAGATAGAAACATATAAAAATTGAAGATTGTTTGTTAAATTTTTTGTAACAATTATTTCTCTATCTAGATAAGAGTAGATTCAACAGATAGATACAAAACTTCAACAGATAGAAAAGATTTTGACAACAAAAAGAGTTGGTTTGACATATAGGAACAAATTTTGAATTAAAAAGAACAAAAAATTGTATAGATAGTCAAAAAATTTAAATAAATAGATATAAATTTGAACAGATAGAAAATCATTTGAGCATATAGATATAAATTTGAACAGATAGTCAACAAAAGTCAACAGATAAATTAAGAAGTAAAAAATAAATTTCAACAGATAGATATAAATTTGTACAGATAAAAATAATTTCGATAAATAGTCAATGAAAAGTCAAACAGATAAAAAAGTCAATGGGCAAAATTGAAAATAAAATGTTCTTCAAAATAAGTAAAAGAACCTCTTACCAAATTATTTCACAAATGATGAACCTTTTACTAATAAAAAAAAAATACTATAAACCTAATACCTTAGATATTCTCTAAATTAGATTTATTACCAATTTTCTATTCCAACAAATCCCTATATGAAAAGATTATGAATCATTGTGGTGATATAGAATAATATAATATCAAAGACAACCAAAATGGATCTTTAACTAAAAAATAATAAATTAGTAATTGGACAACTGGCCAATGTAATCATTTACAAAAATAAAAAAAATAAAAACATTTTATTATATTCCAATAATAGCAGGCCCGAGACAGCCAATACCCAATGCCCATGTTTGATTCTATAAGATTAATAGTGAGGTATTAATAATTCAATTAAATTAGTGTGGTATTCACAATCCCACCCCTACCCCATTACTAATAATCCTACAAATTTGTTGGATTAATTATCCATTAGATTGATAATCCTAAAACAAAATGTCAAAACAAACATAGGATAATTTGGCCCGCGGATTAATAATCCCAATTCCATGCTCTAATCCTTCCAATCAAACATGCTCAATGAGATTTCATCTAATAGCTGTGATCTCAATGAAACTTTATTCCACTGCATAAACCAGTTTAATTAGTTTAATTGTTTCCGAGATTAATCAAGAACCAAATTTGTACTTACCATTCCAAAAATTTAAGAATCAAATCCAACGATAAACTATAAAACCAAATGGAAAAATGATTTTGGGCTAGAAAGTTGTATACTATATCCATACTATCTTCTTCTATTTTTTTCCCTTTTTTTTTTTTAAATGAGAAAAAGGATGTTTTGAGATGTTATTATTGCATGTATAGGCCCAGGTTCGGGATAACCGGTTGCCGACCTGATTTAATCTAACCCATAGGAAGAGATCCACCACCGAGACACCAATGGAGCTCAGTCACACGTCCCAGAAGAGATTAGGTGTCGATCGGAGTACAGTACGAGATTTTCGCATAGAGTTAACTAGATAATCCAGCATATTCGCACCCCCAAAAGTCAAACCTGACTCACTTCTAAGAAATGAGCTGCCTTCATGTCACGACCTAAACCCGCCTTTATGGATTTAGCACCGTAACCAGCCAGTAATCCGTGATTACCGAAAGCCTGCTTAACAGTAATAACAGTAATACAGAGTACAGGGGCTAGCGGAAGTCAAAACAGTAATAAAGGATGTCCAATGAGTTGTGACAATCTGTATGCAAAAAAAAAACCTTTCATACATATTCACATTCAGAACCAAAACAGTATATACATACATATACAGTCATCCAGGATAGGGACCTAATCCCTATTAGAATAGTACAGTACAGGTACAGTCAGTCTATACAAAAACAGAGACAGAAAGGATGAATCTAAAACACCTCAAAGAGCCCTAGCTTGAAGGACTTGGAACCTCTCAGTGAGGCACAATGGTTGGCTTGACAAAAAGGGAGTTAAAACCAACGTTTCTAGCTCCGATCCGGTGCCTGGACACCTACATATATATATAAACAGTGAACTAAAACCCAGTGAATAACAGTTATGTAAAGAGGTTAAGAATGAATGTCCTTTCAGTCATTAAACAATCATATCAGTCATTTAGAAACCATAGCAGTTATATGTGGTACATCCAATAGCAAAACAGTACAGTAGGTCTTAATAGACCGAATAGTCAGTTGATGGCGATCATAATAGTAAACAGTAGTGGTTCCAAACATAGGAACCGATAGAGATCTCTATGACAGTAGCAGTAACAGTACAGTAATAGTAAATTGCTATGGATGCCACGAATATAGTTCTCAAATAGGACAAACATTCATTCAGTAAGAAATATCATTTCAGAAAGCAGTACAATTGATCATTCAGAAAACATTCATGATTGAACATATCTTTATAACATCGTTACTCACAGAACTCTGGGCTATAAGCAGCTAATGAGCGTCCCCGGATGCCAACCCTACATAGTTAGAGAATGAACACACACTAAGTTATACACTTGGGAATCAATGACTTAGTCCCTATCTTGACTCAGTGTGGTTCTACATCAATATCCTCATTAAGATGCCTTAAACATGGCCTAGGAATGCCTAGGATGGAATGCGGATGTAAAGATGCACTTTAAAACACTTTTCAGAATTTTCAGAAAATAGGGGTCTCGCTCGAGCATGGCTTTCTTCGCTCGAGCGAGCTTGTCAAAACAGTGGGGTCGCTCGAGCGTGGACTTCCTCGCTCGAGCAGTCTGTAAAAATGCAAAAAGTGCTGGATGTTGAAAATCCCAGCTCGACGCTCGCTCGAGCGTAAGACACAGTCCTCGCTCGAGCGTAGGTTCCCTCGCTCGAGCGTGCATCTGCGTGCACCAAAAACCTGAGAGCCTGCAATTTACGCTCGAGCGGAGCTTTGAACAAAAGACGGTCGCTCGAACGTGGAATCCTTCGCTATAATATTCCCAACTTTTCATCTAGAGCCAAACACACTCCTATGTTAAACTCCATTTAGGATATCTAAACCCAACTCCAAACTTGATGGTAGGTGTAACCAAACACCCCATTTCAACACAAAAAAAAATTAGAAGTGCAGATTTTTTTTCTTCATTCTTCATTCTCTAACTTCTCTCTACTTTCTCTCTCATTTTCCTTTACTTTCTTGGAGGCCAAACACCACACCTTTGCTCCACCCTTACACCACCACCTTGACCCACCATCTCCACCACCTCCGGCCACCTTATCTCGCCGGAAAATGGGTCCGGTCGGCACTCCTTGAATCCATCCGAAAATAACACAATAGAAGCACAAACTCTAGATTTTTCTTAATCTTTTGAAGAATCAAAGCATGGGATTTATTTTCTTGATGGATTAGAGGCTTGTACTTGGTAAGAATCTTTCTCTAAAAGTTTAGTTGAAGGTTTTACATATTTTGAGTTAGAGATGATGAAATTTTTGTGTTTTAGATCTATTATGATTTGGGGTTTGCTTGTTGAATTTTATACTCTCAATTAGTTTCCATGAATGTTTTACATGTTTAAAAAAAAAATGGTCAATTTGATGGTTGATTTGGAGATTTAGATTTTGGGTTAATCTAGGGTTTGAATGTGATGTAAAAATTGGGGATTTTGGTGTTAGGGAATTTATATGTTGAAATTGAGTTGATAAATGATGGATTGGGTATCTCTATGTTCTATGGAGGAATTTTATAAGTGATTGAAGAGATTTTACTTAAGTTGTTGAGTTTATACAAAAATGTTGATTTTTGACTTTTGTAGTAAATTGATGGTGGTATTGTGCATATAAATTGATTGGATATTTAAAAAGTTACTAACTCAAACTAGAATGACTCGAGTCTGATCCCAACTCTACAAACTTGGGGGAATCAAACTTAGACTCAATACTCAATTCAGAACTCAGAATAAAACC